ATGCTTCTGTTTTGTTACTATTAACAGTAATTAAGGCATAATATACAAGATGCTTAGCATTGTTTTGTGTAAGATATTGTTTAAAGAAGTTGATAGTTTGTGATTCTCTTGGTAAAAGAAGTTTGTAATAATTAAGAAATTTGTTATAGCATATTTTCAAGTTATAGGAGTCTAATGATGTTGGTGATGACTTGGATAGAGGTTCTTCTGAAGGGTCACTCACTGTTTTAAGCTCAGTTTTTACAGCTGCGAAGGATTTCATAGTTTGCTATATACATTTGGTCTGATTGTCAATATCTTGGTCTTTCACGTTCTAGATATATTTTTTAGCACATTGACTTTATAAAATAAAAGTTAAATTAAATATATAAGCTTGGGCTACAATATAATAGAGTGGTTTTTTTTAATAATAATATTTTATAATCCAAAAAAATAGATTTGAAAAATATATTATTTTTTAATATAACAATAAATGTAAATAAAATATTAGTTTGGTTAAAAAAAAAAATTCTATAATTAATCTTGCTTTCTCAAAAAATGTACCTTGAAGTTACTTCAATTATTATGAAGATAATTAAATTCAAAATTAATATTTAACTCAGATATTATATTAATAAACTATTTGCAAAAAAATAAATTAATATTAATTTATTATTTGAAAAAATAAATTATAAAAAATTAATAATTTACTGACAAAAAGTTTTTCTTGCAAAATTTTGTTATAACTATAATGCTCTAAGCCAACCTATGATCTACTAGCAAAACCCTAACCCTAAACTAATCAAACCTTTTTTTTAAATTTATTAACAAATAGATAAATATCAATAAATTTTTAGTAACCATAAAAAAAATCTGTAAAACTTTAAAAAATCTGCAAATAATGATTAATATATATTATCTTATATTTTTATTTATTATAGTATTGTACACTCTAACATATAATGTATAATGAGAATAGGCTGTTGTAACATATTAATGACAGCAATAGTGTAATCAGTTGATTTACAATTTGTACTATATTTATACAAAATAATGCCTATAGATATTATTTTGAAACACGATTTTGAAACAAGCTAATGATTAATTTAGCCAAAGATTTTTAATAATAAAAATTATAATTTGCATCATTATAGCAAAAAAGTATTTTATTGATCATCAGTCCATCTGACCTAGCTCTATTCGATCCTATTCGGTTCTGACCACAGTTTGGTCCAGTTTTTTAAAAGACTAGCAGTTGTTATACTCAATTTTTTTTTGTTAGTATCAATATTTTATTTTATATATTTTTTATTTTGGTATAGTTTGTGGTATAGTTGGGTGATTAAAGCTCCAATCAAGTAATTAAAGCTCCAATCGAGTGATTAAATCTCCAATCAAGTGATTAAGGCTCCAATCGAGTGTTTAAAGCTCTAATCAAGTGATTTAGCCCCAAATAAGTGATTAAAACCCAAATAAGTAATTAAAACCCTAATATGAATTAAAGATATATAAACGTGTAGTTTTAGTCTGAGAGAGGACAGTAGCTCATAGTTTTAGTATTATTGTTAAATAATCTGATGTATTGATTTATGTTAATAAAGAGAAATCATATAACCTATAATTATGTATATTAATTTAATAATTTAAACTATTTGACCCCAATTACTTTATTGTTTATGATTGAAGCTAAATTGGTTCAAGTTTAGTAAAGCTCTCTCCCAGATCATAATATTTGGTGCTGATTGTGTGAAGTAATACCCAGAAATTTTTAATAAAATTATTTGAATTTCTCAATCTCATCTAATTATTTACTAAGCATAATTCTAATATTACTATATACACGTGACTTTTTGTATTAGTTAGTTATTGGCTTTAGTCTTGAGAGCACTATTTGAATTAACATTGAATGAGAATAAAAGATGAATTCTGAACTTCAACTCTGAAACTTGATCACCAAAAGGGGATATTTACAGTATTTCCCCAGGAAGCAGATACAAGACAATTTATCTAAAAAAAAAATTTATGTCCAGATGCTGAGAAAATCACCTATTCTTAAATATTCAGAAATATAATGTTTAGATAAAAAGTAACTATACTTTTTACAAAACTTACCTTAGATCAATATGAAGAGGTTCTAAATATAATAAATAAAAGCTTTCTTGAAGTTCTTAACAATAACCAGATTTCAGAGGCCTGAAGTTTACATTAGAAATGTTAAAAAAAATAATAAATAAGAACAAAAAAGAATCAGAAGAAATAGTAAATCTACTTCTATCTACTAAGAAAATCTATCTAGTAAAGCACTGCTTATCAGCTGCAACCCAGACTCTTAACTCATGTTATATCTTAGAGGAAGACCCAGAGGTAGATTTGAAAGATTTAATTAATAGCTACCTCGAAGTCTTGAATATCTGGTTACCCGAATTTGAAAATAGCTATTTTCTAAACATTAATAATGAAAAAAATAATTCAGATCATATTGATATAACAAAAATAAATTGTAACAATAAAAAAAGCAACCTTGGGTATTGCTATCCAGGTAGAATTGTAACTGCGAAAGATGAAAATTAGATATCAATTGACTATCAAAAGTCAATAGATATAGACCATGCTAATGAACTGAATTGCTTTGACAATTGTTTCTGTAGCAGAACTGAAGCTAAAATGAATATACATAAAGTATTTGCTTGCTCCTGAGAATCTTTTATGATAGATTGTGCTAATAAAAAATATAACCTTAGAACCTATAATCAAAACAGTATTGGACTTGAAAATGGTAAGCATAAGGATGATAAGAAAGCTTTTGTAATTATAAAAAAATTAGCAAAAATGAACTATGCTGATGAAGAATTAAATTTGGTCACAAAAATAGAATAGAGATTGAAAATAATGAGATCGATGATATTAATGAAATAAACAATATATTTTCTGATAAATGATTCTTGTTCGTATCCTCTGAAAGTGTATTTAAAAAGAATAAACATAAAGCCTTTGTTAGTTACCAGAAATCATATGAGTTAGGCTTTACTAATAGAATATATGATATTAGTAATTATTGTCAATATGGAATGGTATTGAAAAAGATAAAAATCAAGCATTGAAATAGTGCTCAAAATTAGCTAAAGACAACAATTCAAATAAACATTGTGGTTATGAATTGCAAAATGCAATGATAAATACTCAATAATTGTTAAGAGCTAATATTAAAGAAACTTGTAAAGGAGGCTGCCCAGATACAAAAACAGAAAATATTAATAGAATGCGCAATATTAGACATTGCTACCAAAATATATTAAGGTATTTAAATGGTATTGGAAAAGTGCTAAAGACAGTAACTTGAATGAACAATTCAACCCTGATGGTTTTTGTTATCAAAATAGAATCATAATCAGAAAAGATTAAGAGGAAATGTTGAAAAGACTTCTGATATCTATTGAAAATAAAGATCCTGATATACAAAGTTGTCATAAAGAAAGATTTTTTTCGATAGAAAATTTGAATAAAGTATATAAGGATTGGATTAGAAAAATTAAAAAGTTTCAAAGAGAGATTAAAGGTTTGGTAAAGAGGAATTGAAAGAATCAAAGCATCTGTTAAATAAAAAAATGATTAGTAATAAAGTTGAATTTGGTAAATAAAAATTTACCTCAAGACTTTTACTTGAATTCTTTTTATTTTTGGGATTTCTTCAGTGTTTTTCTCGCTGGTAGCATTTTTTAAATCACTTTGGCATCTTTCTTAACTCTGGTTGCATTCTATATTTTTGAATCACTTTGGCGTCTCTAATAGTATTCTTGAATCTCTGGTATTTTACTACCAATAGTAGCATTCTTTTACATTAAGTCTCTTTAGTATCTCTGTTCTTTTCTTTGAATTTCTTTGTCTGAATTTTCACAACACATTTTATTTCCAATTAATATGTACTTTTTTTTTCTCTATACATATAGTTTTTTTCTAAATTTTGTGGCATATTCTTCCCATCTATGTTTTTCAGCATGTTCAATTTCCAATAATTTCTTTACATATAATCTTTTTTTGTGTTTATTGATCGATCGATAGGTTACGCACCTCACCTGACAATCTGCATCTGAGGTGTATCAGCTGTGATCTGAGGCAAGCATTAGTCTGAGGCACAACATATATATATTACTATTATTAAATCAAGATAATATATATTAACATATGATTACAATTTTATCAGGTAGGTTAGCGGTGCTATAAGAATGTCATGATCATGTGATCTCTGACCGTTTTTGACCCAATAATGTATTGATCATAAAAACATTGATATATTATCAATATATCAATCTAATATAATGTAAATATTATCTATTTGATCAGTATTAAATTCGGACAATCAAATAAATCGGAAATGGTCGAGGATCACGTCACCGCAATATTTTTATAGCACCACTAACCTACCTCAATTTTATAATATACTGTGTACATACATACGTATAATTTAGACTAACGGCATTTTGTATTTGTTACTTACAGTAAGAACTTACATCATATTTGATTTTTAAATAAGGTACAAATTGAATTATTATTTAATTTCTTTTTCAGAAATTTCTTTTTCGCAAATTTTTTTCAATGTGGTAAATTTCTCAAATAGATTTTTAGTAGAGGAGAGGAAGAGACGAAATAGTGAATACTATTCGATAAAAAAGAAGAATGATTTTTGGGATAACATAGCTAATAAAATAAATATCTGATTTGGTACAAATTATACCAGCAAACAATATAATGAGCGATTTCGGCAGTTAGTACACGACTTCAACATATGTAATTTATTATTTTAACTGTTATATAATTATTATTTTAGTTTACTAATTGGTTTATTTTATAGCAAATGATCCTATACAGAAATGGAGGTTGTGAAAAAAGCACCTTCTATGGGAGAATGTTTTTTGACGAATTTCGAACTTTTTTTTGGCTACGTTCTAGTAAGTATCTATTATTAATTATAAATTATATTTATGCTAATACAATAGCTGTATGCTTTTAGATGATCCAAGTAATTATGAAAGAAATTTAAGCTTGTCACGATGCTGTTTAAGCCCACTGATCCTCCCACCAAGTTCTGCACTACAATCACCTTCTGTAGATATTCCACAACCTTTTAACTCATCTGCAACACAACCTCCTAGCTTATCAACAGCACAACTTTCTGACTCATCAACAGCACAACCTCCAAACTCATAAACAGTACCACCACCTTAAGTAGATGTTTCTACACTGGCAATCATAAGTAGTGCAACAAAAAAAAATTTTTACTTAGATCGCATTATTTCCCGCAATTCTGGGTGTTTCTTTTTATTTTTTTTTTATTTTACTCATAAATGGTACTTTTTTTTGATATTAAAATTTTAATATTATTATTATTGCCAATGTAAAGATAAGTGAGCATATAGCACAAATTATGCGTTGCATTACTTTTGATCATTTTTTACAATGATCAGATGATGGCCATTGTATAACAAAAGATCAGGTGACTAGAAAATCTATTCTCATTTTTGGATTTTTGTATTACAATAGAACTTAAATGATATTCTAGCAAAAAAAAAAGTACAATTTATAACTCAAAAGAGCCCTAGTTTCTTCGTTACTGCAAAACCTGTGTACCACAAGAGTGGTAAGATAAATATGTAATTTTAGTTCCTTCCTGGCTCTTTATGCCAATAAAAGTGGTGGAGCTATTGTGTTTGCAAAAAATTAGTGAAGGTTTATCATTTACCTGTTAGCAGTAAGCCAACCCAAGTGACGATTTTAAATTGAGTCACCTACCTTCGCCATTTAATTGCCATTAAAGAATGGTTTTATCGAAAAAATTAAAAAATATTAATAATTTAGATTTATTATTTTTTTTTTTACATATAGAAATTATGGTTTGGTACTAGAGGTTAAGTAAAAAAAGCTTTACCTGTATGAATATCGATGAAAATGTTGGCTTGAATTCGTGAAAATTGGTCTACCAAGTACAGGTCTAGGTAATTTTGTCTAACAAGCTAAAATTCGAAATTTTTTGAGTCGGATAGTAAATAATATTATAAAACCAACTCAAAAAATCATTAATTTGCTTTTAATATTAAAGTTTTAGAACAGGTTTGTAAAGGTATAATTCTATATTAAGTTTTGTGACTTTAATAGTCTTTGCAAGGTCGATTACTTGATGAATATTAAATTATACTAATATATTTGTTATTAATATTTTATATATATCATTAG